ATACACATTTATAATATTGATATAAATTTTACATTTTATATATGTATTTGGGAGAGTATTGGGAAAACAAACCATCAAACCAGAAAGAACCTAAATGGTCATCAGTATCATAAGTATGGGCATGGAACTCAGTTCTAAGAGTGATTATCTCAAGAGACAGGAAGTGAAAACTACCAGTTTCTTAAGACTTGAGCCTGGAAATTATTCCAGCATCACCCAAGCTGTATTCTATTGGCCACAGAGCCTAGATTCAAGGAAAGGGACATAGACTCTACCTCTCAAAGGGAGAAGTGGCAAAGAATTTGGAAGCTATGTTTTTAAAACTGCCGTATCAAGTTCAGGGAAGATAATGTTTTTAGGGTTAGGGTTGGATACTCTAAGAAACGTCAAGAGTTTAGATACTCAATGTGAAGTATACATTATGTATGACCAGCTGGCTTACTATGTGTAGTATCTGGCATTGTATTACACTGCTACCTACACCTTAATTACACCAAGATTGCACCATATCCTACAACAGAATTTCTTGACTATCCTCACCCTCAAAGTGCTTTTGGTCAAAATTCTGCTCTTAAATGAGAGGAATTGACCAAGAGGGATTTGGCTCTTTTTGATGCAGCATTATTAGTTGAATGTCAGCTCTGGATAGCCATGTAGTAACATTTAAACCTCTGGCAGATTGTGGAGAATGGCATAATGAGGACAATTTTATATCATGAGACATTTGGAAACTATTTTGTATTTAATTTTTTAGGTAGCCTGTACCTAATCAGGAGACTAAATATCAAGGATCAGTTTGATCAACCTTAGTTAACCAAACAGCCTTTTAAAAAAATGACTAATCATTTCATCTTTTTTTTTTTTTTGATGGGTACAAGATATATTAGCTATTGTATGGCTCTCTTGGCTAGCCTGAAAATAGTCAAGGGCAATTGTATTATTCTGGATGATTTTAGACATCAGATTTATATTAGTTGTTGAATTTCTTGTTTTGGGGGGGTTTTTTGGTATCATGGTCAGTATGGTCACTTGTTTTAGATTAGAAACTTGTAGTCAGTGTAGACACCTATGTCCTGAACTCCTCCTGATAAGTTAACTGGGCTTTAAAAAATAATGTTACTAAGAGGTTTGTTTTGAATACTTGGAAATGCAGGATTACCTGTCCAAACTACAGGTCACAGTTGATAAAGTACATGAAGACCATCTGAATACACAAGAATAGTCCTGAGGGTTTACACTAAGGAGATACAATTTTTTTTATTTATAGTAATCCACAAGTACCAATTACTATATAAATTTACTTGGTCTGATGGACTTCAATATATTTTGTTGTAGCATCTGAATATCTAAGAAAATAATTGGACTATAGCATATTTCAGTAGTCTATGTTTTTTTTTTTTTTATCCTTGACATCCCTGGAGTTTCTTTGAGGCTCTAGGAAACATCAGTAACAGTAGTAATATCAGTATCAGAGGTACAGAGTAGGTGTGTTGGGGTTAGTAATATTAACAATAATAATATAACTATAGTTATAAATTGATATATAACTATATTTATAACTATAGCTAGTATTAACTCTAATAGTAACCTATGGATTTAGGGGTTAGATGACAAATACAATAGCAGATTGTAATTCAAATGATTTATAATATAGCAAAGTCCTTCCATTGGCACCTACATCTGAGTTAAGCCAAAATTGCACCTTTCCTTCCTGAAAATGTCTCAATTTTAAAAACCCTTAAAAATCTACAAGTAAATTATTACATGTAATTTTTTTAATAATAGAAGAAAACTTTGCTGAACTGGAAAAAAATTTTTATCTTCAGATTGAAATGATTCACTGATACCCAGTGTGATAGTATTAAACTATGTTTACAAATCCTTTGATACTCCTCCCTTCAAGAGGTGGAGCTTTATTCTCCTTCCCTTGAGTGTAGGCTGGACTTAGTGCCTTGCTTCTGATGAAAGGAATATGGTGGAGATTTTAAAGAATAAATAAAGTGACAGTATGTGACTTTTGAGACTGTGTCATAAAAGCATTGTAACTTCTTCCTTGCTCTTTCTCTTAGATCACCTGCTCTGGAGGAAGCCAACTGCCATGTTGGAAAACTACCTAATCAGCTCTACAGGGAGACTCACATGACAAGGAACTGAGGCCTCCTTCGAACAGCCATGTGAGTGTGCCATCTTGGAAGTGGATTCTCCGGCCCCAGTCAAGCGTTCAGATGACTGAAGCCCCAGCTGATATCTCACTGCAACCTCATGAGAGATACCAAGGCAGAACCACTCAGCTAAGCCATTTCTGAATTCTAACCAACAACTGTAAGATAAAATGTTTGCTCTTTTAAAGTGCTAAGTTTTGAAGTAATATGTTACTCAGCAATACATAATGAATATAACCAGGAAGGATTAAAATTTATTTTTTAAAAGACACATCTAGAAATTAAGAAAAAAATCTTAAAGCATCAGACAGAAAGAACAAGCTATTTACAAAAGAAACAAAATAAGATGAATATTTCTTTCTTATCAGTAATAGTAGAAGTTGGAAGTCAACAACTACAATTTTTGGACAAGCAAAGATTCAATTTACCTACACACCCTATCTTAAAAAATAGTTGAAGAAATTCTCTAACCATATAAAAATTGAATAGAATTTAATCATGACTATACCAAGATCTTACAGGCAAAATAAAAAAGCACACACACACAAAAGGCTATTTTGCAATATTTAAATCTAAATGGATGCTGACAATATGAATGGGAATTTGTAATACGTTATAAAATTAGTCTTGAAATACAAATAATTTTCACTTACATAGCTTAGTATTAAACTTTCTATTACATAATTCATCATTCAGCAAGTATTTACTTGTCACTTACTATGCATATGTATTTAAAAAAATTCTCAGCAAGTGAACAGACCTTTGATGCCCACAAATGGAACTTAAGAACTACCATCCCTGCAAAAACTTTCCTGAAACATTGCATAATGTTAGTTTTCAGAAATGTGCTATTTGTAGTTTGGTTTCCTGTGTAAGCTCTAGGTTACATTTAATAAGTGTGTAATTTTTTGTATTCAAATTTTTTTCCAAGTTCCATAATCTAATATAATTCATTATCATTTCTCCAGCACTTCATTTTTGTTTTAAATGACTCTTTGTTAATCATTCAACATCTCTTTGCTGAAGGTAAATAATACAGCACATTCCCAATTGATAGACGTGGAAACTGAAAATAAACATGAAGAAATTTATACTTGGTCATACTGCCAATTTCTGAAAGGGCCATATTATTAATTCAGCCTCTGATACCTTATGACACAATTCACTTGACAAATATTTACTGGATACCTACCATGTGTCAGCACTGTATTGGCCACTATAAAATCAAACATGAAGACAACATAGGCCCTGACATAAATGAGTTTAGAGAAAGAAGTCAGGAAAAAAAATTATAAATGCAAGCTTTAAAGCAAAGTGATAACAAAGAGTTCAGAATAACCACATTTTCCTAGAGATTAGGAATAGCCAGGAAACTCTTCATAAAATGGGTCATGAGGATATATTTCAAGAAGTTTGACAGGTGACCAATTAATTGGCTATGGGAGTTCAAGAAAATAGAAGCCTAAAATGATCTTCCCTTCCTACTTCTTTTCTTCCTTTCTTATTGAACTACCAATGTAGGTGGTATCCTTAACCAGTATGGGTAATTCATGACTGAATGTGAGGCTTGATGGCACTTTCATGTATAAAATGCAAGAACTCTCTATTCAAGTTCTGGAGTTATTGATCAAGATACAATATTGTATTCAAATTTTAAGGTCCATCTTCAGGAAGCTAATCTTTTTTTCCGAATAATTTTGAGATGAACAGTTATTTCAACATTTGCATTTATATTTGTAAGAGGCCAGCTATAACATGTTTTACCTTTTAAATGGTGTGAGGTTTAACTTTAATTACAGTTTTTGTTTTGGGGTTTTTTTTTTTTGGCCGCACTGCGGGGGTTGAACCTGGGCCACCGCAGTGAAAGGGCCCTAGCGTAACCACTGGACCGCCAGGGAACGCCCTAACTTTAATTATAGTTTTTAAGTTTTTGTTTTTAGTATTTAATTACCCAATGGAAAGCACCATATATACAGATATATGTATATATGTAACTTGTATAGGTAACGTATTTTCTATACATTACAAATTACGATATTAGTTACTCAAGGTTAAGTTCTCTGTAGGATCATTTCAATAACTCACACCTGTTAACATGAAATAAAATTTTAATATTTGGCTCTTACAAGATCTTTTACAATAGCTCAAAGATAGAGGGATGTAACGAGTCTTATCATTCCAATCTACCCAATGTAACTAGCTTGTTACCCAGACACCAGTTCCCCTACACTTTTTCCACCACTTTGGAAAAACGGACTACAACGAAACCTAGCGCCTCTTGAGCAGTTTCATTCATTCCATGAATAAGTAGGCACTGTAAAGGACGCGCTTCACCTTTTAGCCAGGCCTTTTTTACCCTTTTGGGGGCACAAAGCGCCCCTGCCGGCTGATAAGGAAATTCCGTAAACTTCAATCCCCCTCCTCTCTGTTTCTGCCCGGCCCACGAAAGCAGGAGCATCACAAAATTCCCAGCCTGGAGCTTGGGTATTACCCACCCAAGCCTAGTGACGAGCCCTCACAGCGTCGCCCGGGCTTCAAAGGTTGAACCATGTTAACCTTAGGCGGTGGGGTCCGACCTAGCTGAATCCATCACGTGGCCGCAGGAGCCCAATGACCGAGACCCACGCTTTCCAGGCCGCCGCAAGTGCTCACAGAGCCGGAGCTTGCGCGACGCCCCGCCCCGGCCGCACGGTGCACCCGCGTTAATCCTCCCATGAGGTCCCAGCCGCTGGGGCTGCGGGTTCCTACCGAGCATTGTTTCCGAACTTGGCCAGGAGAGCGTTTCCAGATTGGCTTTCTCTGGAGGCGGGCTGAGGACTCATTTGAGACTAGGACTACTTCCTGAAGCGCGAGACAGGAAGTTATCTGGGATGTCTGTAGTCCCGTGGGGAAAGTACCGGCTTCCGCTTTGGTGACGGCTAGAGCAGGCGGTGGGTCGGCGGACTGGCTGTTTGGTCTCGCCGCAGCTAGGGGTCCGTTTCCATCGCAGCACCACGGCCCCCTCCTCCAGCCCAGACCCCGGCGAGGCTGCCCGGGGGGCTCCTTCAGGCTCCTTGACGCCGCTCCAAGGGGCATCTACCTGGGCATCGCCTGGGCCTCCCGCCGGGGGACTGACTCCCGGCTTCAGCACTCAGGGCCACAATAAGAGGTGCCCTTATCAACCCGCGCCCTGCCCCCCTCCCTGAGCCATCGAGACCCTGGTCCAGAGCGACAGCCTAGGACCTGGGACTAGACGGATCCAAGACGCTAAGCCCTGGTCTCCTACAGACGGGGCTCTGCATCGTCTCTGATATGTCACCCACCATCTCCCACAAGGATAGCAGTCGGCAACGACGGCCAGGGACTTTTAACCACTCTCTAGATATGAAGAGCGGTCCTCTGCCGCCGGGCGCCTGGGATGATAATTATCCAGAGTTGGTTGACGGGGAAGGGGACCAAGAAGCTTTTTTGCGGGATATCGGCGCTAGTGACTTCTCAAAACCCCCACGGAGCTGCCGGGCGGAATTAAGCAGCATTTTGCTGTTACTCTTTCTTTACGTGCTTCAGGGCATTCCACTGGGCCTGGCGGGAAGCATCCCACTCATTTTACAGAGCAAAAACGTTAGCTATACAGATCAAGCTTTCTTCAGTTTTGTCTTTTGGCCCTTCAGTCTCAAATTGCTCTGGGCCCCGTTGGTTGATGCGGTTTACTTTAGGAACTTCGGTCGTCGCAAATCTTGGCTTGTCCCTACACAGTATATACTGGGACTCTTCATGATATATCTCTCCACTCAAGTGGACCATTTGCTCGGAAATACAGATGGCAGAACCCCCGATGTGGTTGCTCTCACTGTGACATTCTTTTTGTTTGAATTCCTGGCAGCTACTCAGGACATCGCTGTGGATGGTTGGGCGTTAACCATGTTATCCCGGGAAAACGTGGGTTATGCTTCTACTTGCAATTCAGTGGGCCAAACAGCCGGTTACTTTTTGGGCAATGTTTTGTTTTTGGCCCTTGAATCTGCCGACTTTTGTAACAAATATTTGCGGTTTCAACCTCAACCCAGAGGAATCGTTACTCTTTCAGGTAGTGTATTTAATTTATTATGCTGTTAGGTTTATTGTACGTTTATGAATCCTTTCGACAGTGTGTGTGGTGTTAGAAGGAACCATTATTTAATGTACTGGAAATCATTCTATGGGAGATAATCCGAGGTAAGTTTTCTGTTCTACTAAAATGAGCTTCAGCCAGAATGATTACATTAGAGCAATCATAATTGATCAGTATTCTGAACTGAGCAGAGGAAGGCAACCCAGTAAACATTGTTGTGTCATAGCAAACAAAACTCTGAGTCTAGGGATACCTTGGCACTTGCCTAATAATACTCAGATGCACATTTTTTAGAAGACTGGCTAGTGTGAAGACATGAGCCCAGCCTTATTTCAGAATTTTCCTTTCGTCTTTTGTTAGACTGAGGTTTCTAGCTCCATGTTTTCTGGTCCATTTCTACCCCTACCCTTATACCAAGAGCCCTCATGTAGCCTTCTGGTGAATAGAACAGGGTTAATTCATTTAAGCATTAATGAGCAGGCTAAGTGACAGGGTTCAAAGGGCCTCCTGTGATTAAAGCCAAGTACCGCCCACAAGAAGAACTTGCCAGTCAGACTTGGCATTTGCTGTTGTTGAATTACAAGATTTCATGAAATGGGTAAGTAGAGTTCCAGAATGCACAAAACACCAGGTGAAAATGCACTGAAGCAGCAAAGTACAGAAAGATACAAGACAGTACATGCAGTGTTCAAAGTGCCTGAAGCAGTCATTGTGGGGCCTGATTTTGGACAATGATGCTGAAAGAAAGGTTGTGACCAAATTAAAGGTTGTTGACCAAATTCTTTAGTTGCTGTGAGTAAGAGTAAAGTTTATCCTGTAAGAAATTGGGTGTAAATTCTACAGATTTCCCCCTCTTTCTGCATGAGCACAATACAAGGCCCGGTAAGGTTTTCTGTTTTTTTGTTTTGTTTTGTTTTGTTTTTTAACTTTCCTAACAACTGAGAAACAGTAAAATTACCAATATCAAGAATGACCAACACTGGGAATATAGTAGAATTCTTCATTCTGGTAGTGATGATCAATTTAGGTGACTGTCTCTTAAAGTTTAAACAGCTAAACTTGCTCTCATTTTCCTAGTACTAGGGGATTCCCAATAGGGTAAATGTCAGGGCAAGGTGTGTGGTGAGGGAAGTTTAAGGGCTATATCATAATATTCAGGGAAGGGAGGAAGGGATTCCCAACTGTATTACTGAAATCGTATACAGCCCCTCCACACCCCTACACCCTATAAGTGATCCCCTTTCTACCTCCTCAAACTGCCAGTGAGCCACTACTACTGATGAAATAATAGTTATACTTTTCCTCAGTTGGTTTACGACCAAAAATGGTTGAGAGATATTGCTGTGCACCTAGACAGATTTGTCTCTGAGTGTTCTGGGGTCCCACTCCTGCTATATGGATAATTCTCTGCTTACAAATACTTCATGAATGCATCGTTGCTTTTTTATGTGTCTTGCTTTTCCTTTTTTACTGGGACTGTTCATATCACCAAAAAGGGCTAATAGGATGATGTGTTACTTAACATGGGAAACTCTCAATAAATAAATCAAGATTGAAGAGACTATGGAAACTAAATTACTAAGTAAATTAGAGCTTTCTCACAAGTGTGATAAAAGAGTGATTAATAAAATATCATTCCAGAGAATGCCATTAACTGTTCCCCTATGGGAAGATCAAAATTGAGCCACTGGATTTTTATTTACACTGATTTATTATTTTGAATAGCTGTTTGTTCTGGAGTTTGAACTTTGTTCTCCAGGAAATTTTAAAAATAGTTTACTTTTTAATAAGTTAAGAGTTGAAGAGTCCTGCATTTTCATTCTCCTTTGTATGACTGTACATATCACATTTATAGGGTTTTTTTTGGAACTTAGTATAACTAAGAGTAACCAGTGGCTTTGAGGAATTTAGAGAGCACAGAAAGAATCATGAAGGAAATACAGTTGCTTAGGTAATAAAAGAAGAGGCAAACACTGAGGCAGATGTTTACAAAATGAGGAAATTAAAAAGAGGCATAATTATTTTTTAAAATTCTGAAATACGTTCTGTTATTAGCACTTTGTTTTGAGTTACAGATACACAGAGATAGACTATATTGAGAAAGAACAGTTTTTGCAATCTAGAAAGCAGTAATCTAAATAGTAAATTTAGAACAGGAAGGAGAGGATGAAAACACAGTCCCTTAGAAAGAAAACCTTGATTATGCTGAGATTGGCTTTTTGGTACCTTCAGGGATACAGAACAGTCCTTAACTCAGAGGTAGCCTTTTTTTTGTTCCTGCCCCCTTGGTTTTCAAGGATCTTTAGTAGCAAAAAGAGATAACGTTTTAAGCTTCAAGCAATGTGAGAGTAACCCAGTAGGACACAGAGATTAGAACATAAAGTTTTATGCCTTGAAAAGATCATATATTTCAGTTCCTCATTCTTACTGATGAGGAAACTGATCAGGAAATTGTAACTGGCTAGTTAGAGGTAGAGATAGATATACCTACAGCTTAGGTTTCCTGACTCCTTATTTGGTGATTTTCCTCCATTTGGTAGGAAACTAGGAAAAACTAGGAAAAACTGTAATACATTCTTTAGTATCTAAATCTAGGCTTGAAACATTCCCTTACATTCTCAAAAGATAAAACTATAGAGATAGAAAACAGATCAGTAGTTGCTAGGGGTTGTGGATGAGAAGGTTACTATAAATAAATAGTATGAAGGAGTTTTGGGGGTGTTGAAACTGTTCTGTAATGATTTGAATTTATGCATGTGTTAAAATTCATAGAACTGTACACCAAAAAATTGTTTTACTGTATAATTACTTAAGATTTCTAAAAATTTTTTAAAAGAATCCATTACCTTACAAGTTAATCCCTGGGTAAATATCATACACAGTATATGATATACAGTCCTTGAGTTTCACTCTATTTTTGCCTTGAGTGGAACAAATTCATAAATCTGGTGGATCTCACATCTCAGTATAGACAAAGGAAGAAGTGAACTTCTTTTCAAATGTTAGGGCCCTAGTAGTAAAGTGAGATAGCTGGGAATACTGGAGCTACTAGATTCAGGAGAGATTAAATATTAAAAACTGGAGACCATACCCCAGAAAGAAGGTTTAAAGCCTTTTTCCTTTTAAAAACAAAGCAAAGGAGAAATGGTACTGTATGCTTTCCTTGTCCAGTAAAGAACTGTAGAATAGCTTTTGTGGATGGGGTGCATAAAAGCCAATTTACAAAATACACTGTAAACCAAAAAAGTATTTGATTTTATTTGGCATATGTCTTACTCTGAATTTCACTTCTAACTTTATTGAAATTTATTTGGAGGCCAATTGAATTAGCCTTTACTATGTAAATTTATCAACAAAACAGTCAGAACCTCACTAATTACAAGCAGTCTCCTACTTTCATTTATAGTGTTCCTGAAAACTATAATTTAATTGGAGAAAGCAAAATAGACTTACCTAATACAAGATGTTTTCCTAGGAAATTAAAAATGAAATATAAGGACTTTACTGGTGGCACAGCAGTTAAGAATCCACCAGACAACGCAGGGACACGGGTTCAAGCCCTGGTCCGGGAAGATCCCACACGCCGCGGAGCAATTAAGCCCGTGCGCCACAGCTACTGAGCCGCGCACCTAGAGTCCATGCTCCAAAACAAGAGAAGCCACCGCAATGAGAAGCCCGTGCACCACAACGAAGAGTAGGCCCCGCTCGCCGCAATTAGAGAAAGCCCTCACGCAGCAACGAAGATGCAATGCATCCAAAAATAAATTAATTAATTTATTTTTTTAAAAAATGAAAAATATAAAACCCCTGATTCCACCTGTTCTTTTAAATACAATTTTGGATAAATGTTGCATTTTATACATGTCCTTTTCATTCTTTTTATTATTTCATATTTTTTAATGTGGGGTTTTTATCTTACTATATATATATATAGCTTAGTATAGGAGGTCACAAATACATATTTTTGTTTTTAATTTTTATTGGGGTATAGTCGATTTACAATGTTGTGTTAGTTTTAGGTGTACAGCAAAGTGAATCTGTTATACATATACATATATCCACTCTTTTTTAGATTCTTTTCCCACATAGGCCATGACAGTATTGAGTAGAGTTCCCTGTGCTATACAGTAGGTTCTTATTAGTTATCTATTTTATATATAGAATTGTGTATGTGTCAGTACAAGTATGTATTTTATATGTGAGTATGCATGCTGAAACATTTATTAAGGATGGGGTGCATATTCAAAAAGCAAGATGTTTGTTCCGTTACAGAATTTCTATTTCTTGGTTTGGTGTTATCTAAGAAAAATATTTTTAATTTAATTTCTTCCCTTTACTTTTATTTATTTATTTATTTATGGCTGCATTGGGTCTTCATTGCTGCATGTGGGGGCTACTCGTTGCGGTGTGCGGGCTTCTCATTGCGATGGCTTCTCTTGTTGCGGAGCACGGGCTCTAGGCACGCTGGCTTCAGCAGTCGTGGCATGTGGGCTTAGTAGTTGTGGCTCGTGGTCTCTAGAGCGCAGCTTTAGTAGTTGTGGTACACGGGCTTAGTTGCTCCGCGGCATGTGGGAATCTTCCCAGACCAGGGATTGAACCCATGTCCCCTGCATTGGCAGGCTGATTCTTAACCACTGTGCCACCAGAGAAGTCCCTTCCCTTTACTTTTGAACACATGATAGCTGAAGTCCAATCATCATCAGTTAAGGCTCCAGAATACATGATTCAAAACACCTACAGATTTCTTTCTTTTTAGATATTTTATATTGTCTTGTATTTGAGACCTACATTTCTTATTCCTAGTACAGTCATAGAACTTTTGCATTCTTAAATTTCCCATTAGTTTTTAAAAACTTTATTTAAATAGTAATTATGGATTCACGGGAGGTTGCAGAGAAATGTTTAGAGAAGTCCATGCACCCTTCCCCTAGCATCCATTGTTAAAATCTTATTACATAACCATAGTACAATATCAA